ATTTTCTCTATGGGCAAAATCTTCAACCAATGTTGGCCGAATTCACAGTGCACCTCCTATTATGTTTCAAATTGTTCCTTCAAAACCTGTTCCCCAAATTAATCGATATCCTATAAGAAGAGAAGCAGGCCCTTTAATATATAAATCCCATAATAGATTACATAACTCAAGGCCTTATTATTCCTTGCACTAGTGACTGTAACATTCCTATTTTACCTGTGAGAAAGCCAAAGGATGAGGGTAGAGGTTTGTCCAGAGCTTTGAGCAATAAACCACATTGTAATCCCCTGATACTCTTTTGTTCCTAACCTTCATATGCTCTTAGCATCTATCCCAACTGGAAGTAAATTCTTTATGGTAATTGATTTATGTAGTGCATTCTTTATTATCCCAGTTGATGAAGCTAGCCAGTCAGTACCTTTTTGCCTTCACTTGGGAGGGAAAACAATTTACCTGGACAGTAATGCTTCAGGGTTTTACTGAAAGCACTCAATTCTGAATATTTATTTGGATGATACAATTTTCCCAAAAGGTTCCACCTTATTGCAATACTTGAATCATTTACTTCTTTGCTCTTCTTCTCAGTTTCCTCACAGGAAGATACCATCCATCTATTAGACCTCTTGTCCTTAAAGCAACATAGGGTCTCTAAAGAAAATTAAAATTTGCCCAAACTCAGGTTTGATATTTGGTACATCTGATATCAAAACAAGGACTAAACCTGGATCCAGACAGGCTTTGGGGTGTCCTAAGTTTCTCAAGACCAAAAACTGTCAATTGTGAGGTTTTCTTGGGTTAGTTGGCTATTGCCAAAATTGGATCCCATATCCTCTGTTATGGCAAAACTCCTATGTGTCTAACTAAATAATGACAGTGCTGATCCAATTTTATGGGAAGAACAGGATGACATAGCCTTTAAGCCTTAAAGGAGAGAGTTTAATAAACCCACCTGCTCTTAGACATCCTATCAGATTCCCTTTTTTTCCTTTTTGTACATGAAAAGAAAGGGAATGCCTTTGGGGTGCTCACTCAAAAACATGGGAGTCACCATAGTCCCCAAGGATACTATAATCAGCAACTGGGCCCTGTGGCTTAGAGATACATCCTTGCCTTAGAGCCATTGCTGCTACAGCTTTCTTGGTTAAGGCCACAGAGAAAAATTGTTATGGAATCCCCTCTAATTATTTTTGTACCTCATGAAGAAGTTCTCTTGAATTTACATCGCACCCAGCAGCTTTCCATTAGTTACCTTATTTCCTGTGAAATCTTCTTGTTGAATAGTTCATATATAACTCTTTCATGTAATCTTAATTCAGCTATTCTTCTCCCTTCTGAAATTGATGAAGCATCTCATAACTGCTTGGCATTGATAAGTCACCTCATGACTCCTTGTAAGGATTCTTAGCAGACTTCTCTAAGTAAAGCTTATTTCTGGAGGTTTATAGGTGGCTCATATAAAAATTTAAAATGGTAAGTACTGCGTTGGTTATGCTATTATAATCCATTTTGAAGTCATCAAGGCAGCACTTTTGCCTTTAGCCATTTCAGCACAACAGGCTGAATTATATGCCCTAACTCAAGCTTGCAGTTTAGCAAAGGGCAAAACTGTCACAAAAAAAGAAAGAAAATAAAGGAAAAAAGAGAGAACTTATGGACATGGACAACAGTGTAGTAATGGGGGGGGGTGATGGGAGCTAAAAGAAGGCATAGAGGGGATAAATGGTGATGGGCAAAAATAAATTTAATAAATTTAAACTATCAACATGTATACTGACAGTAGATGTGCCTTCGGAGTAGTTCATGACTTTGGAATGTTATGGAAGCCATGTGGTTTCCTTACCTTCAATAGAGATAAAATTAATAATGATTTATATGTTCAGGAATTATTTTATACTATACTTTTTCCTGATTATTTAGCTATTATTAGGACTTTCTAAACTTGACTCCCAGAAAGCTAAGAGAAATCACTTTGCTGATATTTCTGCTAAGAATGCTACCCATAAAGGCATCAGCAGCTGTCAAACCTCTATCTTGACTTGAAGAGACATTTCCCCAGTTGCTAAATTAGAAAAACTGGCCAACAATTGTCTTCTGAAAAAGATTAGAAATACAACAATTGCAAGTTTTATAAAAAGACAAAGCTCTGTTTTGGACCAAATAATAACCCAGTCCTACCAGAAACTCTAAAATGTCCACTCCTTACACGCATTAATGCATCAGTCCACTGATAATATTGATTCATGAGTCAATATTGGTGGAGAGATATTAACAAGGCTGAAAAAGTGCCTACTGTAAGTGCCCCACCTCTCCAAAGTACAACCCAAAGAAGCCTGTTCACACTGCCTCTGGACATTTTAAATTGCCTAATGGACCATGTGAAGTTTGTCAAATAGGTTTTATGCAGCTTCCCTTGTTTTATGAGTATGTGTTTTAGCCATGATATGTATGTTTTCTCACTGGATTAAAGCTTTCCCTTATAGTCAAGCTGATGACTCTACAGTGGCTAAAGTCCTATTAGAAAAGATTATTCCTACTTGGGGAACTCTTTTGAAACTCTACAGTGACCGAGTAACCCATTTTACCAGTCAAGTGCTACAAGTCTGCTATTTGTCCAGTTCTACAACATTTTTCACTGTGCTTAAAAATCCTGAATCTTCAAGTTTAGTTTAATGTACTAATGGCATATTACGATTCATATCTGTGTCATTCTTAGGAATTGTCCCTGGTTTAAGATGTCTTGCACAAGATTATGTCCCTTAACCAGGCATAGCCTTTATCCAATGACTTTTTATGCCAGGGTACAAAGGCCCAGGATTCTTGCCTCAATTCAGAACAACTATGAAAACCCATCCTAGCCCTGAAACTCCCTGTGGAATTGGTGGAGGCCTTTGTTGCTCCTGCATTGCAGTTCAATTTCTCTTTCTGTTCAATCAGCTTTTTTAACTGCCCCTCCCACAACACAGCCAAAGGGTGATCCTGAAATATCCTCCAATAAACTTCCTGCATGTAAAAACAAAATAAACAGATGCAAATGGCAAAATTTGTAGAAACTCCTCCAATTCCTCGCCAAAAGCATTGCCCTTATTCCTTTCAAATCTCAAATCTCCCTCTTTTGGGAATCATAAGCTTTTACTTTTGTAGATAATTACAAGATACCCCATTTGTTTGGCTGCTGCTTCTTTAGACCAACAGTTGGTAAAAGGAGACATATTTCAATATTGTAAAGGCCTCATTGTTTCTAATGAAAATAATCATGGTGTTGTAGAGCAATCTTTTTATAGCACACCAACAAAAAATTCAAATGCATATACATTTTAGATACACAGTAATGTTTTCTAGTTCCTGCTCTCCCAATAGTCCCCAAGTCCAGATTATTTTATGTTGTTTCCTGATGATATTGTGTTATTAAGATACATACAGTAAGAGAGAGGTTCAGTCCTGGCCTAGAATCGGGAGATAGAAGTGAAAATCTAGACAAAATGCCTGCTCTCTAGGACCATATATCCTAATGGGGGGAAGTAGAGAGCCACTCTTACAGCATAGCCCTTAGGCCTTATATTCTCTCATAGTGATTCAGAAATATCCAATAATTTTTTAGTGTTGACTGAAGAATAACATCCAGAAAAAGAAAATTAACATCAACTGGGTGTTTTGTCACCAAAAAGGATTTATTTGGGAAAAAGAAAGCCATTGCAACCCAATGTATGCAGGCATGGCAAGTGAAATATATACTCCAGCCTCTGTGCCAAGATGGAGGAGTATTTTTATAAAGGAAAAGGAAGGAGAAGTTAGAACCATATGGCTTTATTATAAACATAGAATTCTTCCTGGGCAAAGTTCTTGTGATTATGTAGAGTGGGAGTACTTCCATAAGCCCTAGTTCTACCCATAGGCCCTGCCCTCCCAACTTGCCCTGGGTGGGTAGCGCAGTTGGTTAGAATGTCCTCCTGATACCCCAATGTTGCGGGTTTGATCCTTAATCAGGGCATATACAAGAATCAGCCAATGAATGCATAAGTAAGTGGAACAACAACTTGATGGTTTTCTCTCTCCCTTCCTCTTTCTCTCTCCAAAATAAATTAATAAATAAATAATAAAAGAGATGAACTATACAGCATATAGTTTGTTGCATAGTACATATGCACCACTCTAACCCTTTAATGATATTTATCACATTCTTTTTACCTTGTTTTGTAGACTTTTATACCTACCTTATATCTTTGTTACTGGTCTGAAGGCTACCTGAAGGATAAAAAAACAAAATGTGTTGAGAAAGAATGATTTTTGTTTTGTCCATCCTCATGTACTAAACTCTTAAAATAATGCTAGGTTAGGGCCAGGATCCCTTTGGGTTTCAGGATGTTGGATAACCCCAATATTATCATGGGGAAATATAAGACCTAGTTCTGGTCTTGCGAACAGGGGTGAGTGGTGAATAACTGCTTTGCTACAGCCAGGATACCATCTGCATGAGAGCAGAAATTTTGTCTTTTTTAGCCAATTGCCAGTGCTGTGGCTAGGGCCTAATCTCCCTGAGTGTCAGGAGTGGTAAAAGTACCTAAAACAGCAATTTGTATTCTAAAGTCTGTGTTATTTTGTAATCAATTTCCCAATCTGATAAAATGATGATCCCTACAACAAAAATCAAAATAACTTCCATATGTTTTAAAGTTTACTATGCATTTTGAAATTTTTAAAAAACACAAAAATCATACTATTATTGATTATATTTGCAGTAAATATATAAAACAGACAAGATTTGCACCAAATTCATGATAGTGTCTCCCCCTACAGAGGAAGGAAACATTATGGTATTAGAAAAGAAATTTATTATTTGTAATGCTCTAACTTTTTAAAAATATAAATCTGTATCTAAAACAAAAATGCAAAAATGTTGACATTTGTTAATTTTAGATGAAGGTAAACAAATGTTTGTTATATATTTTGTACTTTTCATATTGTTTTAATTTTTAAAAATAAAAAACACAAAGAAGTTAAAATACCATTATAGCTTATGACTTTATTATAATGTTTTCAGAATTGAATATATCTAGGACATATGCATATGCAACACACAAGTACATAAAACATCTAAATAACACAATTGAGAAGCATGATAATAGATAAAACTTTAACTTTGTATTTCACAGAGAATATACATTCTGTTTTAATAGGAGGCTTAAATAAACTAATTACCATTGAAGAATTAAGAAAGCTGATTAAGGATCTACCATCAAAAGTGTCACTGGGCTTAGATTATTTTACAACTTAGTACTAGCTAATTTTTAAAGAACAAATAATTCTAATGCTATTTAAAATATTCCAGACAACAGGAAAATATTGAAAATTCATCAACTAATTTTCTAAGCTAGCACAATTTTAATTAAAAAACTTGATAAAGACAGTGCAAAAAGGAAAAAAAAACAAAATTTCACTTTGAAATGAAAATGCAATAATTCTAAATAAAACATTGGTAAATAAAATTCAGCAATATATCATATGATTATTCCACTATGCATGACCAAGTAGGATTTATTCCAGAAATACAAGTTTGGTTCAACATCAAATTCCTATCACTCTAATTCAATATGTTAACAATTTAAAGGGAAGAGTCCTAAAATTTTATCAATAGATGCTGAAAAGACATTTGATAAAATTCATGAGACATTTTTAATAATAATGCTTTAAATAACAAGAATAGAAGCAACTCCCTAAACACGTTAGTAGTTAATGACTATTTACCAATAACCAAAAGCAAATGTCATATTAACAGGGAATACTAAAGAAAATTCCATAAAAATTAAGAACCAGATGGGCAAGTCTGCCATGGTCATTATTCAACACTGTTTTAGAGAATCCAGCAAATGTAATAATAATCAATATAAACATTAGAAAAATAAAATTTCCTTATTTGCAGGTGAAATAATTATATCTAGAATGTCAAAAATATTCTATTTAAAAAACCCAGTGTAATTTACAAGATTTAGTAAGCTGATTAAAAAAATAAAAATAAAAAAAGATATATAGTTTGTCTATATTGGCAAAAATAACAAGTTATAAATGAGCAGGAGAAAATTACCCATTCAGAATGTCAAAATGTGACAAAAACTGTAAAAATATTTAGAAATAAATTTAATCTGCTATGATGGACCTAGATGAAGAACATTACAAAATCAAAACCAAATGATTTTAATGATGTACCCAAACTCTTGAATGTTAAAGATTAATATTATTAACATAACCCTCTAAATATATAAAAATGTAATACAATTCTAAGATATTCATTTTTTTAAATGTGGAAAGAATGCCTTTAATTTTCATATAAAAGAATGAATGGCTAAGACAAGTTATATAAAAGAAGAAGAAAAAAAACTAATGAGCGGTAACTTGCTTTACCAGAGTCCAAAATTCAGGTTAAGCCACTATAGTTAAAATAATGTGACCTGGGTCAGAAATTGGAAAATGTATTTTTAAAATAAATGTGATAGTACCATCAGTTACCCAATGTAAACAACATGTATAGTTGGCCATCTATTTTATACCATATGCAAAAGAATTTCCAGTTGGATCAAACAGTGAAACCTTAACTATTTAGAAAAAAAAAAAATGCAGGTGTATATTTGTATGACTTGGGGTTGGGACATTCATCTGAAAAAAGACAGCAAACCAAAAAAAAACACACACACACACAAAAAAACAAAAAAACCCCAAAAAACTAAAAAGGAGAAAGTAGTTTATCTAAAACTTTTTTAAAACCTGAAAAGTAAAAGATACCATCAATAAAGTTAAGATTAATGATAGGATAGAAAAATCATAACACATATGGGCTACAAATGATTAATATGCACCATATAGTAAATATAGTAAGAATTCTCACAAATTTATAAGGAAAAGATTAAAGATTCAATAGATAAATGAACATAGGATAAATACCGGCAAATCACAAAAGAGAAAAGTCCAAAAAGTGAAACAAACAACTCCCCCTAAAAACAAACCAACAAACAGAAAACCTCATTGAGTTTGCCAATTAAAGAAACAATAAAACAAATTTTTGCCTTTCAAATTTGTAAAAATTAAAGAGTGCTGGAGAGGATGCTGGAAAATAAGAACTTTCATTTTAGATGGTACTTTTGCAGTACCTTTTAAAATTAAATATAAGCCTACCTAGCAATCCCATTTCTAGGAATCAACCCTATAGAAATAAAAGCACTAGTATGTATTGAGCGGCTAATAAATATGTACTGTGTATGCAGTTGTTGGAGGCAGGAGAGAGAGAGGAGAGAGAAGAGAGAGAGAGGAGAGAGAAAGAGAGAGAGAGAGAGAGAGAGAGAGAGAGAGAGAGAGAGAGAGAGAGAGAGAGAGAGAATGGGTGATTTATTTAACAAATGTGCTGGCACAATCAGGTATCCAATGTGAACAAAATGTATAGTTAAATCTCTATCATATACCATATACAAAAATAAATTCCTGAGTGAGAGGGAAATGGATGATGTATTTAATAAATGTAATGGCATGATCAGGTATCCAATGTGAACAAAATGTATAATTGAACCTTTATATAAAAAAAGTAAATTCCAGAGGGAAAGGTGGGGAGGGAAAGAAGGATAGATAAATGGAGGGAGATGGAGAATATCTGCAGCTACTGGTCAGAAGGGATTAAGAAAAGCAATGACAAAGAAATGATGTGGCTTGTCATTTTTTCAGAAACAACTGCAACAAACTTTTTGTAAAAGGATTGGAAAAAATGTAGGGCATGCATTATGTTCTTACCACTTGTTATCTGAGGAGAAGAAAGAAGGAAGGTAAGGGAAAAGAGGGGAAGGATATGGTGAGGGGTTACACCATTAATTTTTCTTTAGTTTTTCATTGTTCCAATGGTAATGAACACTTTTCAATTTTCTATGAGCACCCACTTTAAATTTTTCAATTACAGAACAAGGCAATATCATAGGTACCAAAGTACACTTGGGCAAAACTGTGGAACTAGTCAATGTATAAGATTTAGAGGCACAGTAAGTAATAAGTAATAATAAATTTCTGACTCTCTGACACCAAAACTGTTCTCAAAAGTACAATTACAATAACACGACATATTTTACATTTAATAGTTCCACAAATTTTGCAAAACACACACAATGAATTTAAGGGGTTTTCACCAAACCATAGACATAAATGTGAATATCATCATCAAACTTAATGAAGTAGACAGATGGCTTGGCCACCACTTGATGGATGAAAATGCCGGTTCTCTTGGACCCATCATCTTTGGCATGCTCCACCTGCTTGCCCACGAGGCTGTCAATCACTTCTCCAGGCTCCCGCTCAGCTGTAGGGAAATAGTAGTTGGAATCTGGAATGATGCGCAGGTCACCATCTTTGTAGTCATCCAGCAGCGTGTACATATAAAGTACCGGATCTTTCTCGTAGGTGATGTAAAACCAAGTGTCCATCACGGGGGCTCGTGCCAGGACCATGCCTTTCCATTCATCTTTCTTGCCGTGTTCCCCCTCAAAAACATGCTCCACTGCCTTGCCAATCAGGGAATCTGCGAGGCGCGAATCAATGCGAGGAGTTGGCACTCTCTCAGGAAGGATCTCGAGTGCTAAAACTCTCTTATCTCGGTGCAGTTCTAGCCCATACACACTATCTTTGCCGTCATATTTGATGATGTAGAGAGTGGGCTTCACAGAAACCTGCTCGAGCACTGTCCCCTTCCATTGCTCCACCGGCTCGTTGCCTTCCTTCCAGCCGTGTTGAATGCGGCAGCCTACGATGTTCCTCCGAGTGAGGAAAGTGGGCTTGCGCCGCTGCTTCCTGTGGGTGTGCCTTTTCTTCATCAGGTACGCGGACACACCATCTACACCCATTGGAGGCACGGTTGGGGGTGACATGGTTCGGGGTTTACGGAGGCTTGGCAAAGCTGCCACTTGTCCGATTAAGCTGAGAAAAAGCCAACACTATCCAATACGAGATCTTATTTCGTGATCTCTGACTCTCCCTTCACTAAGCACCAGGATCTCACCAGCGCTCGGTAGAAACGCTCTAACTCTAACCTTGGGTGCTGGGACGGCGTGGGCCTCTGGATAGTGTTCTCTCCCGCCCGGGAGGGGTGTCTGCAGCAGTGGCGGTTGCTGCAGGAGATGGCGCGCTGGCTGTGCTGCCCGCGCCTAGCTCCCGCCCAGACTCCCAGCCCCAAGTCCCGAAATGACCACTTAGCTGTTATCGAAGGTGCTGCAGCTTTGACACGGCGATGCGGAAGGAGACCGTTGGAAAAGCGGGCAGGGATGAGAGGGATGGCTGCAACGGCAAAGGCGCCGGCGGCGACGGGTCTCTGACGGGTCCCAGCGGCCTTGACTTCGCAGCGCAGCGCTGCGCTGCTCGGCCTAGCTCGGCGCCAGGGCTTTTGCCGCTTAGGAACTGGACCCCTCCGAGCCCGCCAGCGCCTCGGCCCCGCCCCCCGCCATTCCCCCTTCCGCTCCGCACGCAGCCTGAGGGGCCGCAGCGGGGCGGGTCAAGGCGCGCAACCGCTCAGTCCACTGAGTTTCAGGCGCTGGCTCCTTCCTTTCCTCACATGCCCCACGACTGCTTCCCTCAAACCGGAGCCAGACTGGCCGGCTCCCCTCCTCCCTTTCTTTGGCCTCCTGTTGCAGGCCTGCCTCCTCCACAGCAGCACCATCTGCTTTCTATCTTCCAGGAATTCCTCACAAAGACTTTACTTAAAATAATAATAATAACATTCAACGCACAGAGTTTGTACATGTGATTTTCTTTCAGTTAAGGGATATGAGACTGGAGAAGGAAAAGCCTGTGTACAGTCCACCATCTTGTGACAAATTCTCCTTTATATTTTCTATCTGATCATTGGGTAACGCTTTTTCAATAATCTTTTTCTTTTTTTCTGAATGTAAAAGAAATGCACTGACATTGTGGAGCTTTTCCACAAATCAGTAAAAGACAGAACTATCCCCAATATCCTTAATCTTACCATCTAGATATACACAAAATGTTGCTATACTTTCTCTTTCATTAATAAATCGATGCAGATTTTATTACCTTATAGCTTTTATTTTTCATTTATATCATGAACATTTTCACAGGTTATTAAATACTCTGAAAATGTGACTTTTTAATGGTTCCGTAATGTTCATTTGTATGGATGGTCCATTAATGGTCTATGAAAATACAGATAATTAAATTAGTTTACATTCACATATGGATTAGTTGAGCTAGCATAAGCCATATTTTCAAAGAATATTTAGTGACATGGAGGTCTTCATATGGGCTAAGAGTGATGTGTGAAAAAGAATATTGAATATTGAATAAAAATTGTAGCCCCAATTTTGTAGAGTTAAAAAAGAAAGGGTTTTTGTCATAAATATTTGTTGTTTTTCTGACTATAAATATAATGCATTCTCATATGGAAAATCTGAAAGATAGCAAAGTGTCCATAATTTCCCTATCTCAAGTCACAGAGTAGTTATGAGGATTAAAAGGGAATGTCTGTAAAACTTTTAGTCCTATATCAGTGATGGCGAACCTATGACACGTGTGTCAGAGGTGACACGCGAACTCATTTTTTTTGGTTGATTTTTCTTTGTTAAATGGCATTTAAATATATAAAATAAATATCAAAAATATAAGTCTTTGTTTTACTATGGTTGCAAATATCAAAAAATATCTATATGTGACACAGCACCAGAGTTAAGTTAGGGTTTTTCAAAATGCTGACAAGCCGAGCTCAAAAGGTTCGCCATCATTGTCCTACTTTATAAGATGTCAATAAAAACCAGGAAAGTCTAGGCCCCTCATTCTCATTCCTCCACCCTTCACTGGTGAGAAGAGAAGGCAGCATATCATCATGTGTAAAAAAGTCCATTAATTCATAGAGAATTGTAGAAAAGCAGGGGAGAGAGCTGCAAGGCAACAATATTGGCTGTCTCCACATTTTACTACCTTTCAAGACAGGGAGAGAAAAACTTAACATCTGATAGCTAATTGGGCAGAATATGTGTTGATTCCTCAATTCCCCATGTTTCCCAGTCCAAGGACTTTAAAGGTGAGATAACTCTTCAATATTATAATGCAATAAATTAATTTCACGGAAACAAGAAAACATGCATATTAAAAGGTCTTTCCAAACTCTAGAATGGCATAGTGGTGTGTACATAGTCACACATATATATGGCCTAAACACTGAAAGTCAGAAGGTATTTGTAAATGTCATGTCATTATATTTCACAAATAATTCTCCAGGTAATCCCCCAGACCAAAATGTGCCAAGCTCTTTTTGTTTAGAAGAACAGTTGACAGGTTAGAGGCCACCCGTAGGGCACACAAAGGCAGGGAAAACAATTTACTCAGGCTCTTTGGTTGTATATTTAAGAGAATTCTTGCTCATAGCACCACAAAACAGCCTGGGAGACAAAAGAATTTTTAATATTTTTTCTTCTCTAAAACTATGATTTTGATGTTTAGATCATTCCCTAACATTATGGATTCAGTAGGCCTTACCACAGTATGAAAATGTTTACTTTGTATGTCTGCCCACTAGGCTATAAACCCATTTTAGAGAGGACTTTTATCTTGCAACCCAAATGCCTTACAAAGAATAGGTACTCAATGAATATTTGTTAAAAGAATAAATAAATGGTTTCAGATGCCCTGCTCTAACCCAAAGAAATCCTCCCAAATGAAACAAGTTGTCTTACACAGTTTCTCAAGATTGGGGTCCTGGTGACTTAAAATCTCCCACAGCTGCTTTTTTATACTTTCAAAACATCCAGATCACTGACCTTGTGGATATGTGTCCATAAGTCTGAAAATGACTAGGAGAACACCATTAACCTGCAATATATGTATAATAATATCTACCTCAAAGGGTAGCTGTGAAGATTAAATGAGATAAATACAAGTGAATTTCTTAGCACATGAACTGGCTCATGGTAGATACTTGTAGTCTCCTAACCAAGCTCTTCTCTTATCAGGTCTGTCTACAAACCACAAAGCTCATGCCCCACCTCTAAACTTATGCTCTCTTTTACACTCAAGCCCTCTTGGTCAGGGTCTGAGTGTGAATCAAAGAGGTACTGTTGGCAGGATTTTTCTCTTATAGCCAGTTTCAGAGCAGTCTTTCAAATGCTGCAAGTTTCTGGAAGCTCAAATCCTGGATAAGTAAAAAGTTATTTAAAATACGTTTGGGGGGTACAGTGTTAATTTATAACTGGAGGGGTGGTGGAAATAGGCATAAATGTTTTTAATTCCATCGTATAAGGCAAATTATAAATACCTGCTGAGAAGTACAAATTAAGTACTGGAGAGCCAAAGGAGGTAGTGATTTGTTATAGCTGGGGAGATTGAAAAGACAACTTGAAAGTGTAAGAGAACAAAAGGAAGACATTCAGAAGGTGGTAGAATAGTGAGGCCTTTTCAGTCTAAGCAGAAAACAGCTGGAGGAAAAGCACAGAGGGTTGCATGGACATAGGATATGTGAAAAACCAGTCAGGAGCTTGTGGCTGGAGCACAGATTTGCCAGGCTAAGGAATAGGGGATGTGGTTTGTGGTGGGAAGTAAGGCTAGTCAACGGTCTCAAATGCAGGAAATTGATCTTACATCCACTCTGCGTGGAAGCAGATAATGTTCCAATTCCTCTGACAGTGTAGTGTTGGCAGGACCGAAAGAGAGCTGATTTTCCATGTCCCTTCTGGCAGAAGCAGGCAGTGCTTCCCTAAGCAGGAAGTGTTTTCCTGTCAGAATAGTAGTATAGGTGGTGCTGAGCATAGAGCTGATCTTCCATTCCTCCTTTAGCAGAAGCAAGCAGTGTGGTGCTCTGATCCCTTTGCCAGAGAAGTGTCAGCAAAATTTAACAGTGAGCTGTTCCTCCACAGTCATCTGGTGGTATAAAGTACTGGATGATAGTGATCTCTATTCTATAGCCTTTCTTCACCCGCTCTTCCCATATCAACACAACATTGATGAGAGTAAGCAATGTAGAGTGAGGCAGGGCTAGTCAGCACTCATTTCCCTAGATTCTTGCTGGCAGTGAAATCCAGTGATGAGCTGAGTTTTCATCCCCAGCCACCATCAGTGAGACTGAAAGAGGGGAACAAGATAGAACTATGTGCTATTCAAATTTCCCTACAACTTTTGTGTCAGGCCCAGTGGCAGATAAGCCTCCACTCTCACTTGGAGGCAATGAGATTGTATAAATCAGTACCACACTTTCACCATGAAGAAATTTGCAGATCTCAGAAGGGTGCTAAACTTCTATCCATCCCACCCATGTGCAATGTGGCAGTGTGAGTCAGTTCTCCACTTTTGTAAAGGTGGTCTCTAGAGATCCCACAAGAAGTCTAACATGCACACATACCTGATCCTCCAGCTACAAAACAACAGAGGGGATGTCTGATAAAAAACAAATTAAATAGAGTACAGAGATTCATAATATAATATCAAAAAAGACAATGATACAATAAAAATCAAAATTCATGCAAAGAGCAAGGGAAATCAACAATTTGAATGTGACAAGGCACTTACCAAATGGAAATTTTAGAATTAAAAAATAAAATAATTAAAATAAAAGTATCTTAGGATGGAATCAATATAAGACTAGAGATGACAGAAGATAGAACCAGCACATTTTGGGTTAGAAAAATAAAATTTACTCCATGTGAACAACAGAGAGAACCAGACTGAGGGGAAAAACACAGTCTCAGAAACTGTGAGCCAAAAAAAGAGTTAACATTTACAATTGCCTTAAAAGAAGTGAAATTCTTAGCTATAGATCTACCAAACCATGTAAAGGATCTGTATACTGAAAATTAAAAATGATAATGCCAGAAATTAAAGCAGACCTAATGGAAGGACATACCATGTTCATGGCTTTGGAAACTCAGCATAGTAAATATATTAATTCTCTTCAAAGTGATCCATAAGTTTAATGAAATTTCTAGGAAAACTTGAGCAATGTTATTCATAGAATTACATAGAATTATTCTTAAATTTATGTGGAAAAGCACAATATCTAAAATAGCTAAAACAATTTTAAGAAAAGTATATTGTACAAAGAATCATTCTAACTGAAGTTAAGACTTACTGCATAGCTACAATAATCAAAAAAGGGTGGCGTTTACAGAGCAATAAACACATAGATGATGACACAGAAGAGGGAACCCAGAACTTGACTCACACAAATATGTCCAAGTGATTTTTGGCAGTTCAAAAGCAATTCAATGGAGAAAGGATAGGATTTTCAACAAATGATGCTAAAGGAATTGGATATTGCACTGCCCCTCCCCCCCAAAAATGCTAGATTTAAACCTCTTATCCTATCTAATAAAAGAGAAACATGGTAATTAGCCGTACGTCCACTACCCTTCCCATTGGCTAATC